CCATCCCTAATTTAGCAGTGTAAGACTAGAGGGAAGGCAGCTAGTCATCACCACCCACCATCAACTCTTGGGCTATTATTTTACCAACGAATAGTGGGATTGACCATCACATTATAACATCCCCACAGCTGAAAGGACGAGCATATTTGGTGTGAAGGGAATTCAAACCCACGACCCTCAGATTGCGAGTCAAGTGCCCTAACCACCCGGCCATGCTGGGCCCATACATTCACCTTCACCTGTAGCTCCTTTGTCTAGTTCTGTTCTGCCATCTACAAGTCAGAAAACCCACCTCTATTGGTGCTAAATAAGGAATCATAACTAAAATTTGGCAGAAAAGGACTGTAATGCAGTTTATGAAACCTGGATCATAAATCATGCTGTCATCCAAAGTATAAATTCATAAACACAGACAGACTGATGCAAGGCAAATACTATCACAGCTGATTACCAACACCTACGGACATCATTTGGATGTCAAGAAATGCAGTAAAATTGTCATCATAACAAAATTCAGTAATTAGGAGTATATTCCAAAATCTTGGACATATTGAACATTAGTTATCATATTCCTTGTTATTCCTCATGCTGTTAAAGTGCAAACTCCAACACTTTGCACCAGTGAGGCTGGTAAAGACCTACAAATGGAAAGTACTGATTTTGATTTTTCACTGCTACACAGAATCACAGCTACAAGCTTGAAAGACTCTCTGGTCATTTCTAAATCTTCTGATTTTTCTCTGCTACACAGAATCACAGCTACAAGCTTGAAAGACTCTCTGGTCATTTCTAAATCTTAACATTTCAGCTAGTTTTTGTTTCTAGGTGACTGGTGTGGAGAAATCAAATATAATTTTTTTTTTCCAGTTTAAATATTATGCCAAAGTTTACCACAAAAACTCTAGTTTAGATTTTGGAAGCCATGGACTGCAAAATCTTACATGTACTTGTCAATTTTTTAAATATAAATTTCATAATCACTAAATGTCAATGACATTTTGATTAGTGATAAAAATGCAAAGTTTTGCAAGGGGGGGACACGAATATGTCTCTCACAAAATTTTAGTAAGTTGAAGTGTATCTGATTCATTTTCATGGATCTTAGGGGTGGAATTCAGCATATTTAAGTTAAATTTCAGTAATTTTAGTGGGTAAAAAAATATGTGAAACACAATAAATTCTTCTGACATCTTGTTATGCGATTTGCATTTCAGTAATAAGTGACAAGGCCCGGCATGGCCAGATGATTAGGGCACTTTACTCGCAATCTGCGGGTTCGCATCACCCGTCACACCAAACATGCTCGCCCTTTCAGCCGTGGGGGCGTTATAATGTGACGGTGAATCCTACTATTCGTTGGTAAAAGAGTAGCCCAAGAGTTGGCGGTGGGTGGTGATAATTAGCTGCCTTCCCTCTAGTCTTAACACTGTTAAATTAGGGATGGCTAGCGCAGATAGCCCTCGTGTAGCTTTCGAAATAAACAAAATAAGTGACAAAGTTTATTTTATTTGTAACAGTTAACTGCTCGTGTTCATACTACACATATAACTATTAAATGAATTACTCTAAAATCCTGCACAAGACTAATCATACACATACCTCCAGTACATGTGCTTTGCCATGTTGATCTGCAAAAAACATCTCTTCTTTGATCATGTTTTCATTGGTTGTAGGTGTGAAGAAGATAGGGCACCATTCAGGTAGAGTGGGGAGTTTGCCCCATCTCCTGTGTATAATATCATGTTCATTTTCATAAGTGTGTAGTTTGCACTCTTAAAAGGTTATTAAAAAATACAGAAAATAATCAGAGCAAATGCTCCCAAAACAGACTAATTTTTATATTCTAACCTTTAAAAAAAAACCAAACAAAACCATTAAAACCAGAAATTATGCACGTGAAAGAAAGACATGATCTTCTTGTTTAAGGTGCATGATTACCCATAAGTTGTGTACTTTTTAGTTTTTATCTGGGTTTTAAAGTCATGTATGCATGTATATGAAATTTTTATGTCAAATTTTGCACAGTTTATGAAAATGTTAGTTTTTTTTATCATGTTGATACAGACCGATTATGTCAGGAAATGTCTTCTCATTATTTTTTTACTATATATTTCTGCAGTACTTTGACCTTGTGTTTAGAGTTTATTGATTGTTAAATTTCTATCTTCAAGTAATAAATGATTACAAAATGTGACTTGCTAGCAATCATAACTGTACCAAAATCTTTGGAACACCTTTATATCAGGTAAATTCACAATGACTTCTGAAAATAGCATATAACTCCAGCTTCTATGACTGTTTAGAAACAGCTTCCATCAGATGACTAGCAATCATCAACAGTCACGTTAACTGTTAATGTTCCAGAGTTATATCTGATAAGTGAAGTATAGTGAACCACCACATCGTTCCAATAGGTATCTCGGAGAGTAAGAATCACCATTAAATTTCAGTTGTGGATCTACTTCACATAACTGTCCTAAATGCTGTAATTAGGTGGCTACAACTGAAAAATTTGGAAAATATTTTACTGTGAAACTACACTCAATAACTTGAATTTTTGGCATTTAGATCTTGTTGCTGATTAATTTCAGTCCCTGCCATATTAACTTGGATATCAGTGTTAATACTGCAACCACATCTTTAAACAGTTGAATTGTTTCACTATCAGCTCTTCTTGTTACAACTTATCAAGAGTGGATGGAGGAGTACTTGTAGTATCTTCGAGTGCCATCACCTGGATCAAGAACATAGTTATTAAAAATGTTTTACATTTACAAAAACTACCAAGTCAGGACAAGGTGATTAGCCATATAAATATGTGATATTAAATATATATATTTATGTAAAAGGGGTAAACCTTTAATCTAAAGAAACAAAAAATAGGGAAGGCTTGGCCCTATTTTTACATAATTGACATATTCAATAACATGCTTCACCCCCCTTCTGCAAGGAAAATACTACACCAACTCCACAATCACAGGTGTCAATCTCAAGGATAAATGGATAGTCTTTCTGAGGTTAAGCCAGTACCCTAAGCCTTGACTAAAGTCAATTTCAGTATTTGAAACAAATAGTCACAGTTTCTGGTAAAAATGAAATCCATAATTTTTCTCATAATTAAAGATTAGGGCCAATCCCTAATCAATGTGATCTTCACAAGATCAGTGTCCTGGCTTCAATTTAAAACCTGTTTTCTTTATTCACAAAATACAATTTGCCGGTTCTCAGCACCAATGTTTAGGTAAAAATCAAAAAGGCCTTCCACAAAGGCAACACACATATCTTTCACTTCAGCCCTTTCAATGTAAGCTCCATCAGTCTCTTGAGAGTAACAAATGCATTATAAAGAACAAAAGGTGAGATTCATAAGTATTACCTTGAGCACTAAAAACATTATGTATGTTCTCATCATTCTGCTCAACTTGCTAGTAGTCAAATTCCAAGTTATGTATTATGAGCTAGTGAGTGGTATTTCATCACATCCAGACATTCCTACGTTCATTGCAAAGGAGAGACATTAGGACATAATAGCATGTTTACTCACTAATATTCCTTTCTTCTTCCTTACAAGCACTACAGAAGATGACCAAACACTCCCTCTAACGTTAACTTGCTCAGTCTTAAACATCAATATCCCTAATACTCCAAGGAATTCTGTACATTGATTAATTTAATAGATACCCACCAGACACCATCTGCTGTCTATTTGATGACATGTTGCCATTGTTATACATACTGGGACAACTTTTATTAACAAACATTTTAATATCAGCAAGTTCCAACATTAAAGTTCTGAGTTCCCATTGCCATTCTAAGTCCAAATTAACTGCAAAATCCTCAATCAGTGATTCAGGTGCAGTGGAAGCTAGATGATGTGTTGCAGAAGAAACACTAGTTATTCAGTCAATTCCAGTCACATTTGTTTTACTCACTATGCAGACAAATATAGCTGAGGGATTTGTGGAACTAGATAAATGATTGTCTCACAATCATGACAAGCAAGTCTGATGGTCACACTGTCCCATAAGCTCGATACAACCAAGGGAGGGATAAAATTCTGCAAAATGAAAAGTTCTCCAGAAAATATATGCAGAGTACGAAAAAGGCCAGTTTGTCCAAAAAGAATTCAACACTAGACACATTTACTTTACTTTGAAACAAGCACAATTTATTAAAAGACAAATAATGAAAAATGACAATTTCCATCTAACTGACAATAATAGGTTGCAATGTCTTATCAAGGTCAGATTCTCAATATCCTAAACAAAAACAGATACAAGTTGAAGACAACTTGATTTTACTAGGACCAAGGCAATTCTACTTGAAACACTAGTTTTCTTGTAACTAAGCAAATATTCAATCTCTAGCTATACATACACACCAGGAGACTAATCGTATTACCAACAAAGGGAGAATAGCCTTGTGTGTCTATTTCAGTACATTATGTTATAACAAGATTTAATGACTTACTTAGTAGTAAAGGCTAAACACGTA